TACGGACAGGATGGGGACCTAAGGTATGTTTTCATTTTGCATTTGTTGTTTTTAATGTTCTTCGTATCAGAACAATGATGTTGAGAATAACGGGTGGTAATTATAATAATTATAATAATAATGATATTATTACTAACAGTAATAATAATAGGGCTGATGTTCATAATGATAAAAGTAATAATAACGATAATAATAATAGCAATAATAATGAAAATAACAACAATAAATGATAGTATAATAATAAATAATAATATAATAATAATAATAATAATAATAATAATAATAATGATAATAATAGTAATAATGACAATAGCATTAATAGAGATAATAATGATAATGAAAAGGGCAAGAAGAGTAATAGTAATAATGATAATGACAACAATGATAATAATGAAATAATAAACAATAATGAATAAAATGATAATAGCGATAATAGTAATATAATAGTAGTAATAATGATAATAAGAATAGTAGTAGCAAGTAGTAGGAATAGTAGTATATGATAATGATAATATAATAATTAATAATAATGATAATAATATATAATAATAATAATAATAATAACAACAAAGATAATAATAATGATTATAGCAATAACGATGAAAATGATGATACAATACCCATCTTCCTCCACCAACACCATACTAACACCATACCTCAAACTCTCCCCTCTCTCCCCCCCCCCCACAGAGAATGGCGCGACCTGACCTCCGACGAAGAGAACTACCTCGTCCAGCTGATGCCTCCCGGGGACATCATCGTGCAAGCCATCAGGGACATTCACGACATGGCGGCGCACTCAGAACTCTCCAACGCGGGCAATTTATGATGATACGTTCGTTCGTGAGTGAGGGGGAGGGTGGGAGAGGGGGGGAGGGAGGGGGAGGGATGGAGGGGGGATGGGAGGGTGGATGGGAGGAGTGGAGGATGGAGGGGGATGGGGATGAAGGTGGTGAGGAGGGGAGGGGAGGGAGGTGGGTGGTGGAGGTGGTGGGGGGGGAGGAGGTGTGATGGGGGGAGAGGAGGAGAGGGGATGGAAGGGATAGGGGATGGAATTGTGGAGGGGAGGGAGGGGGATAGAAGGGTGGAGGGGATGGATGGGGATGGAAGGGTGGAGAGGGGGAGATGAAGGAGGGGGAGATCGGGAGGTGAGGATGGGGATGGGAGGAGGGGGAGGGACGGGGATGGAAGGAGGGAGGAGCGAGGGATGGAAGGAGGGGCGGATGGAGGGTTGAAGGGATAGGAAGGGATGGGATGGGAGGGGGGGGGAGAGGGAGAGGTGAGGGGGGGAGAGGGGAGGAGGACGGGGGGGAGGGAGGAGAGGGAGAAGGAGGAGGTGGAAGGAGGTAGGAGGGTGGGGGTGGGAGGGAGGTAGGGAGGGAGAAAGGAGGAGAAGGAGGAGGAAGGGAGGAGGGGTGGGAGTATAGAGGGAGAAGGAGGAGGAAGGTGGGGGGGAATGGGGAAAAGGAGTGAGGCGAGAGAGGAGGAAAGGAGTGGGTAAAGGGGAAGGAAGGTATAGGGAGGGAAATAGGAGGGAAAAAGGAGAGGGGAGATAGAAATGGGGAGTAAGAGCGAAGATTATGAAATGGGTGAAAATGGGGTAAGACAAGGAAATCTACATTTCATAATTATCTAATTGATAAGGATAACAAGTTGCCAACAGGAAACGACGAAGAAGGGCAGAAACACACGAATATGCATATTCTGTGTTTCTTGCCCTTCCCTTCGTCGTTCCTGTTGCAATCTGTTCAACATGAATTCCACACAAGGATAACAAGCCATATATGAATAAGATCTCCTCAAGAAAAAAACACATCTCCAACATGTTTTCCTTTGACAGTGATGGAACACAAGTACAAGTCGTTGCTTCAGAACCTTCCCTGTCGACATATCATGACGATGGTGGAGAAGACAGAGGCGGGACTGAGGAACCAGACGAGGAGGCTGAAGGTGAGAAAGAATTATCATTATTTGCTATTGTTGAAAGAAAATATAATCAGACGAGGAGGAAAGAGTGAAAAAAATATTTATTTGTTATTGAAATGAATAAATAATGAATGAATAAGGATGTTTTATATATGCTATATATCATCATTCGCATCATCATTATCATCATCATCATCATCCCCACCACTAATCATCATCATCTTTACCATCTCATCGTCACCGTCCTCCTCCTTACCATCATCTTCACTAATCAACAGTTACCATTCACCCCCTCCTTATCACCATTACTGTCCTCCACCTCAAGATCACCTCCACCATCCTCCTCCACTTCACCATCACCAATCCTCCGTCTTCACATCGTCTACCTCACCATCATCTTTATCAACCACCAGTCACCATTCACCCTCTCCCTATCACCATTCATTCCTCCTCTCACCATCCACCTCACCCTCATTTCCACCATCCTTTCTCCTCCGCTCACCATCCTCCTCATCCACCACCTCATCTTCACCATCTCACCCACATCTTCCACCCACCCACCACTCACCCTGTCTCCTCCCTCTCGCCTCACCATCCACCTCACCCACATCTTCACCACCACAGTCACCATTCACCCTCTCTCTCACCTCTCCACCATTCCTCTCACCCTCCTCCTCCTCACCATCCACCACCCTCATCCCACCATTCCCACCACCCAACATTCGCCCTCTCTCCTCCCTCCCTCTCTCACATCCACCTCACCTCATCTCCACCATCCCACCACCCACCACTCACCCTCTCTCTCCTCCTCCTCACCATCCACCTCACCCCTCATCTTCCCACACTCACCATCTTACCCTCTCTCCTCCCACCATCCACTCACCTCATCTCCACCATCCACCACCCCACCACTCACCCTCCCTCCTCCTCACCATCCACCTCACCCACATCTCCACCATCCACCACCCACCACTCACCCTCTCTCCTCCCTCCTCCTCACCATCTCACCCTCCTCCACCATCCACCACCCACCACTCACCCCTCTCCTCCTCCCCTCCTCCTCACCATCCACCACCTCACCTCACCTCCACCATCCACCACCCACCACTCACCCTCTCTCCTCCCTCCTCCTCACCATCCCCCACCTCCACCACCCACCACCCACCACTCACCCTCCTCTCCTCCTCCCTCCTCACCATCCACCACCTCACCATCACCTCCACCATCCACCATCCACCACTCACCCTGTCTCCTCCCTCCCGCAGGATGCCGACATCGTGAACTACTTCGCCGTGGGGAATCTGGCCACCATCAGCAAGATCCTGGATGCTGCGACCTTCAACGGGATGTTCGGGCGGAAGTATGCCTGGTATGCGCTCTCGAAGGTATGCTGAGGCGTGGTTATGCTGTATGTTGAGTCTGAGGGTGTGTGGTGGTAGGGTGTGGTTCTGGAGTGATGTGGTGGGGTGTGTGGTGGTAGGAGTGAAGTGGGTGTGGTGTGTGGTGGTAGGGTGTAGTCTTAGAGGAGAGTGGATGTGGTTTCGGGTTGTTTTATGTGTTTTTGTCATGGGATGTGGATAATTGGTTGTTTGTTGGGTGGTTAGGTGGATAGATATATCGGTTGTGGTTGGTGGATAGTTGGTTTTCATTCGCGTTTAATGAGGGAATGAGATCTTTATGACATATGCATATCCACGTTTAACAAGCTCACTCCTGATACCCACTCATACCCCTACCCCTAGCATACCCTCTTTCTCCCCCACCCATACTACCCCCTAGCATAACCCTTCTTCCCCTCCCCACCCATACCCCTATCCCCAATTTCACCCCCCCCCAGACACCCCTCCCCTACCCCCATCCGCACAACCCTCCTTACCCCTCCATCATTTCCTCCACCCGTACCCTACCCCACCCACAAACCCATCCCCAACGCGAGCAACCTCCTATCCCCGACCCATACGAACCCCCCACCACAAACTCACCCCCACTTTCACTTCCCAAACTCCTGCCCTATAGTCCCCCACAAACTCACCCCGACACTCACTCTCCCCCTACCCCCCACCTACAAATTGCCCCTACACTCTCCCCCACACCCCACCCCCACCCACAAACTCACCCCACACTCCCCCTTTCCCCTACCTTCCCCACACTCCCACCCTTACCCCCCACCCTCCCACCCTCCCCCTCCCTTCCTCCAAACCAACCCACCCACCCCACCCCCCCCCTCCCCCCCCCACCCCCCACCCACAAACTCACCCCTCCCTCCTCCCACAGCAACGCGAGGACCTGGAGTGTGGGTGCGAGAACGCCTCCGTGGTCTTCCTCCGCCCCCACAGCACCTCCGAGATGCGAGGGCGGCTGCAGATGCTGGAGAAGAACTATCAGCTGATGACCGTCCCGCGGATCGACTCCGCCTTCTATTTCGACTTCGCGGTCAGGGGATCAAGGCGGCGAGGTGAGTGAGGGGAGGGAAGGGGAGAGGGAGGGAGGGGTGAGGGGTATTGGGGAGGGAAGGGATGAGGGAGGTGAGGTGAGTGAGGGAGTTGGGGGAGGGAAAGGGTGAGGGAGGTGAGGGGTGTGGAGGGGAGTGGGGGAGGGAAGGGGTGAGTGAGGTGAGGGTGTGGAGAGGAGTTGGGGGAGGGAGGGAGGGGAGGAAGGGGAAGGGAAAGAGAGGGGTGAGGGGTATGGAGGGTAATTGGGGGAGGGAGGGAGAGGGGAGGGAAGAGGAGGGGCGTGGTGTGGGAGGTGAGGGAGGAAGGGGAGAGAGGGTAATTGGGAGGGAGAGGGAGAGGTGAGGGAGAGGAGAGAGAAGGGTGTGGGAGGTGAGGGGAGGAAGGGGAGAGAGGGGTGAGGGTATGGAGGAGAGGGGTGTCGGGTGAGGGAGGAGAGGGGGGGAGAGGGAGTGAGGAGGGGAATGGGGGAAGTGAGGGAGAGGGGAAGTGGGGGAGGGAGAGGGGAAGGAGAGAAGGGAGTTGAGGGGATGGAAGGGTGTTGGGGAGGAGAGGGGGAGGGGGAGGAGGAGGGGAAGGGAGGGGATTGGGGGAAGATAGGGGAGGGAAGGGAAAGGGGGAAGGAGGGTGAGAGGGGGGAGGGAGAGGAGGTGAGGGATGGAGGGAAGGTAAGAAGAGAGTAGAGAGAGAGGGGAATGGGGGGAGGGAAAAGGAATGGTAGAGGGAATTTAGGAAGGAAGGGATGGGTAGTTAGAGCAGAAATGGAAATTCGGGGAGGAAGAGGGAAGTAAGGGAAATGAGGGTTAAAGGGGAGAGAGAAATGAGAATGAAAGAGAGATAGGGGAGCTGGGAGAGTAAAGGTAGATGGGAATGAAAAGCTGCAGTTGATAAGAGAGAGGAAGGAATGAAGAGACTAATTGTGGTGAGGGCGTTTATGTGTTTATGTTCTGTATGTTGTGTTTATGTGTTGTAGGTTGTTGTAGGTTATTTGTGTCATCGTTAAGTGACATATTAGCTAAATCAAAAATAGTTCAGTAAAATGTATTCACTGAAGATCTGATGATTATGATAATTCGATGAAAAACTACATCTGTTTCAGTACAGATGTTTAAGTGAGTCAGCGGGTGCGTATGAGAGAGAGAGAGAGAGAGAGAGAGAGAGAGAGAGAGAGAGAGAGAGAGAGAGAGAGAGAGAGAGAGAGAGAGAGAGAGAAGAGAGAGAGAGAGAGAGAGAGAGAGAGAGAAACCAAAAAAAAAAAAAAAAAAAAAAAAAATCAAAGGCATTCTAACCCCCCTCCTTCCCCTCCCCCCTCTTAGTCGCTTAGCCGGACAAGGGAAATACGCCGACTTCAACTTCCTGAAATGCTCTGAGTTCGAGGAAGGGAGCCCGCCGGTGCGAGCGGGCTTCGACCTCCGCAGCGCACTCAAGACGGTGAGTGGGTTGGGCTGAAGGGGAGCGGGACTGGGGGAGAGTGGGGGATGGTTGTGTATATCTGTCTATTTGTGGATGCATACATATATGTGGTTATTTCACGTTACTACTGCTTTTAATGCGCATACACAGGAACACATACGCGTTTATACGTATATACACACACATACACACACCTACACACACCCGCATACCCACACATATATGTATATATGCTTATACATTTTTTTGTAGCGCTATGACAATCATAATAGAAATAAACCCAAATTAACCCATACCCTTCCCTCTCTTTTCACCCCTCCCCTCTTCCTCCCCCCTCCCTTCCATCCCCCGCTCCTCCTCCCCACAACCCCCCTCCCCCACAACCCCGCTCCCCCCCCCCCCACAACCCCAGGTCCAAGCCGACAGCTGGGCCACCATCAGCTGGGGCGCCAACGGCATGAGCTACCTGGACATCGCCCTCACCATGGACAAGTTCATGATCCTGCGCGGGAGGACAGCCGAGCGGAAGTCCCTGGGCGAGTGGGATGCCGGGATGCCGGGCACGCTCATGTTCAAGAGCGGGATGAACCTGAACGATTTCCAGGTAGGCTTGTGTTGGTTTTGTTTGTTTGTTGTTATTTTTTTTGTTGTATCAGTAACAGAAAGGATAATAATGCGGAGAAGGAAGAGCTAAATAAGAGAAGAAAAACAAACAGAAAATGAAATAAGGAAAGAATTGATGTGTATACTATGTATACAAGAAATACAAACAAAGACATAGGACATATATATATGTACACACACACACACACACACACACACACACACACAACACACCACACACACACACACACACACACACACACACACACACACACACACACACACACACACACCACACACACACACACACACACACACACACACACACACACACACACACACACACACACACACACACACACACACACACACACACACACACACACACACACACACACACACACACACACACACACACACACACACACACACACACACACACACACACACACACACACACACACACACACACACACACACACACACACACACACACACACAACACACACACACACACACACACACACACACACACACACACCATATATATATATATATATAGTGTGTGTGTGTGTGTGTGTGTGTGTGTGTGTGTGTGTGTGTGTGTGTGTGCACACACACACAAAACAATTAAAACGCGAATGTTATCACTCACTCAGACCCAACCCGTTTGACACGTATTGACCAAGCAACAAATAAACGCGATTGGTCATTTCTTTGCATGACAGGACTAAAAAAGAGAAAAGCCAAAAACATGATTTACTTTCTTTCTTCTCCTTTGTACTCCTTTCTTGTCTTTGTTTTGCTTTCTCCCTTTTTGTTCATTCATTTCATGTACTACACGTAAAGGGTACGTTGTATAAGCATTTTACTCTCTATGGATATTTACATATCTACGTATCGCATGATTTGATAGATTATTTATTGGATAATTTATTTATTTTTTCTCAATTATCCATTTCATTATTTCTATCAAATTATCATAATTATCGATCACCTGGTTTATCTATATCTCATATGAATAACTATAGACGGAGTAGCACAAGATTTAGTACATAAGTAATGAAATATAGTGATAAAAACAGTAATAAATAAAACTCATGTCATATATGAACGGTAATATCTTTTATACACTATCTCATTATTATAATTGATTGTCACTATTATCATTGATTTCCCTTTTCATTATTGTATGCTTAATCGAAGAAGTAAATAATTCCTTTATTTATTAATTTCTCACATATAGTCGTTTTTTTTTAATGTTTCTGTTTGTTTTTGCATAAATTATTTTGTATATATATATGTTATGTATACTTTGGACTGTATCTTTCCAAATGTATTTAACTTATATATATATATTTTTGGTATATTTTTATGTGCTTTTTGTCAAGTGTAGTGCTGTTTTTTTTTATATATCTGTTTTGTCATTATCATTTCTCGTCATTTTGCCCTTTTCCCTTTTGGTGGAAATAAGAAAGGAAAGAGAAAATAAGACAAGGAATGGAGGGATGTTAGATTATTTTAAAGAAAGGAAAATAGGAGAATGAAAGACCAAAACAACAACAACAACAGGAGCAAACAGCAACAGTAACAGTAATAACATGAGCTACAACTTTAAAAACAAACATAGCAATAACGAAGACGGTGAAATCAAAGAATGAAATATAACACAGTGAAGAAAGATGGAAATATCAATGAGAAGAAGGAATGGAAAGGAAGACAATAATGGCAATAAGAAGAAAGAGGAAATAGAGACAGCACAATAATGAAAAGAAGAAGAAGAAGAAGAAGAAGAAGAAGAAGAAGAAGAAGAAGAAAGAAAGAAGAAGAAGAAGAAGAAGAAGAAAGAAGAAGAAGAAGAAGAAGAAGAAGAAGAAGAAGAAGAAGAAGAAGAAGAAGAAAGAGAAGAAGAAGAAGAAGAAAAAAGAAAAAAAGAAAAGAAGAAAAGAAAAAAAAAAAAAAAAAAAGAAAAGAAAAAACAAAACAACCAAAATAGAGATAAAAACGAAAAAAAGAACAAAAAGGAAAAGACAAAGAACAATAACAAGCAACAACATCAATCACACGTACTTAAACCGACCAACTTTATAGCGCTTGATGTATAAGTAACTCGAGCGCGCACAAATCAGCCAACGTTTCTTCCCGAGCGTCATTTCACATCGATCGGGCTCCCGGGCCACAAATCCCAACTTTTCACACTCTTAAATCGCTCCATTGAATGAGTGTGAAGTGATTGTTATTTTGGTTATCTTTTATCTATTTATGGTTGTTATTATTTTCATTTCTTTGTCATTAAATTTTTTTTGGGTGGGGGAGCGGGGAAGTGTGTGTGTGTATACATACATCTATATATACATGCATACATACATACGTACATGTATATATATATATATATATAATATATATATATATATATATATTATATATATATATGTATATATATATATATATATATATATATATATATATATATATATATATATATATATATATATATATGAGCATGTGTCTACGTATGTTTTATGGTGTGTGTCAGTATAACAAGATTCGATTCTTCGTATTTACAAGGCACTTGCTGACCTATATTCCTCGTTATATATACATATCTTCCATTAATTCATAATCAAAGTAATACGTAATATTTCCTAAAAACCTTCGCGATATATGTTATAAAAAACAACAAGCGCAACAGTATGATGATGATTTTGATTGCAATAATGATGAAATGAATGATGATATGATAATGATAATAATGTTGATAATGACAACGGTGATAACAATAGTAATAGTAGTGATATTTGTAATAATAACAGTAATGGTAATGATGATAACAACAATAATGAGGACGATATTGATGATACTAGTAATAATGATAATGATAATAAATAAATGAATAATTAAGAATAATGATAAAATTAATCAATTTTTGATAATATTAATAATCGATAAAACTGATATTTTGATATAATTTCATTATGAAATATATATTTTAATGACAACTTCAATAAACAATAATGTAACTTGAGTAAAAGCTTTGCTTACTAAAACTAGGAGAAAACGCAGTCTGAAAAGTGCAAAGATATATCACCTCTTTAAATCATTGCTCTAAAATGTGTGACGATTTATTTCTTATTTTGTGCTAATATGTAAATCATTTCTTGAAATTCGTATTTCCTATACCTTGACTAGTTAATGCAAAACCAAACTGAGGAAAGAATTCCACTAAGGTAACTTCGCTCTTATTGTCATCACCAATTCTGTGTTCTTCCGCGATTAACTCATGTCATCACATTTTGCGGTAGTTTGTTAACATTAATAGTAATCTGAGTATTTGACTGTTATGACGAATTCCGCAAGGTGGAGCAAACAAAACAAAATCCTAATCTGTTTGTATTTCTTGTCTATACTTTTAGAAATTTTGCTTTTACCGGATTAACTGATTAAAAATTGAGCTTTGCCACTTTAGACATGATTACTTTTTCAGTTTATATTTGTGTATCAATATACTGATGAACTATTCCATAAATTACAAAATATTTCATGTAGATGGTGATAATAATAATAATATGATTGGTGATGGTAATAACAATCATAGCAATAATGATGATGATGAGAGTAGTAACAGTTGTAGTAATGATATTAGTAAAAATAATTTAAAAAGTGAGAGGAATGGTAAGAATAAAGCTGATAAAAATGGGACTAATACTACTGCTAAGGATAAGAGATATTATCATTATTGTCAAATGCTATTCCTAAAACAGATGATAATAATGATAATAACAATTATAGAACAATAATAGTAGTAATAATGATTATGATAATAGAGATAATAACCTATGGACAGCAAAAATAATTTAGATTAAAGAAAGGAATGAAATAACAATAAATAATTAAAATAAGGAAGAATAAATAATACAAAGAAAAATAAATACAACATACAAGGATGAAATGGAAACGTAGGTAATTATAATATGATTAATAATGATGAATGATGATAAAAATATAATGCATAATAGGAAAATATAAAATAATAAACTGCTAATAACTAAAGTGAAATAAAATAAGTACATGAAAAACAATATTAATAAGTATATAAAATAAAAAATGAGCACCTAAAATACATAATCAAAATAGCCAGGGAAAGACTAATACATAAGCAAACTTTCGCCAAAACAATAAATGTTAAACAAGAGGCTATTGACTAATACTCTACGTGTCGACTTCGATAAATCATTCGCATATTGCTAAATAACTATTGTCCGAATTATTTGACCACTGCCCTCGAATTAAGAATTCACGGCTTAGGCATAAATCTAATAGGTTTAACATATAATGAGATAATGAAATCTAAATAAGATCAAGTGAGTAAAGAAGGCCACGTACGCCGATGAGAGTAGAGAAATAACTATATTTCACATATATTTACCGATAAAGTATACTTATATTCAATTGTAGAGAATCTGTTAAATGCATATTACACAGAATTCTACTATAATGTGCACAAGGTTTCGGACCACTTGCAACCGGATACCAAACTATATTAGGAAATCAAAAATCGTTTGATTTGAATGAATTATAATTTTTGAATTATAACATACATAATTAATAAGAAGAAGGGGAAACAAATTGACCAAGGATTAACCATACTTGTCTTCGGTATTTAAATAGGTCGGTTCTCCTAACAAATTTTAGAAGTAGTGGTTATTTAAATTCTATAGGCATAGATGTAAGTTAGGTAACCATACTGGAATTCTTTATATATTAACTCTATGCCTATTTTATTCGTTGTCTTCAATTTCTCTCTTTTAACTATGCTTTAAATGATATATTAGCCGGATTTTTCTAAGTAGATGTCTCATACCCATTTATGTCTTCTATCTTTATTTGTCTGATCTTTTCCCTGTACTGCTTTCCAACTGAAATCTGAATATCTATTTCACCTTCTCTCGATGACCTTAATCATTAGACTACGATAGCCTACCTCATTTATCCCACGACTTACCTCTGTATGCTACATCTCGATCCTTTTACGATAAAAGCGTCTATCAGGAATAGTACCGGGATGATTATGCAATGTAATTAACTATACCGCCCTTTCGCCTCTTTCATTATCGTGTAACCTATTAGGAAGTTGTAATCTATTACTTACTTTGAAATTCAGCAGTACCTCCCTCTTCCTTTTTCATCAAATTCTTTCTCGAATCACTACGAATAGAGACATCAGAAGTCATAGCATTAGAGAACCATACGTTTACTCTCTCTGCATACTGCTGAATCATACTCGCTCTAGAAGCAAAAGAATCAATAGAGGATTCAATGAACACCATCGATCATATCCGTCGTAGTCTATCTATTTTACGTCATATACTCATCATACATCTCTGTCTTCTGACTACTTATCTCTCTTACTCTCCCCTCCCTACTTCACGACGTCTCTCTCTCACATCTGATCTCTCTCTCTCTCTAGACTCTCTCATTCTCGTCTATCTCTCTCTCTCTCTCGTCTCTCTTCTCTCTCTCTCATCTCTCTCTCTCATCATCTAAATAAATACCTGAACAGAATAGTACAGGAGAGACCCATCAATCAGGTATCTGAATCATTAATCTGACTCATCCCTCTTCCATCACACTTCACCCCCCCACCTATTGACTCACCTCACTTTACCTTCCCTCCCTATTCACATGCCCCCCAGGCCGGCTGTAGACTTAGTGAGCGGGGAAGGAGATAGTGTACAAGTAGATAAATAGAGATAAAGAAACAAGTAGAATACGGTGACGGAAACCGGAAGCGAAAAGTACAGGAATAGACAGCAGCTTCAACTACCGTATGATATGTTATATGTAAAAAGCTGGTAACAACGAAATGAAACAGTAAACTAGAACAGAGTGATCATAGAGGAATTCATACGAACATGATTATCTGTATCGACCTCGATCCACGAGATTAAAGAAAGATTAGATGAATTTCAGATAGAATAGGTATCCGTTAGACGTTTCGTATTATAATTTAAATTATATATTGATATGACAGTTTATATTGTGATATGTTTATTGTATGATATAATATACAGATTAATAATATTTATAAATATAATAGAGTATGTTAAATATATATGTGAATATATATAGTAAACAGGTTAACTATAAATAATAGTATGGTATAATTATATGTAATGATAGGAGTAATAATATATAAATGATTACTAATGGGTAGTGAGTAGTGAGTATGAATATGATATATATGTATATAATATAATATTATAATAATATATTATTATAGAAGATTAGATATTAATATATAAATAATTAATATATGAAAATATGAGATCTATACATATATATATTAATATATGCATCTGTGTTTATAAGGACGAAAAATGATTAGTAAATAATGACAATGATAGGTGGGAAAATACGTAATCAGGTTTAAATATAGATGTAATAATATAAAGTGAATAAATATAATGATAAATGATAATCAATAAATAAGTTAAAATGATATACGATTAAGGGATATTAAAATTATAAATTATGAATGAATTAATAAGATATACAACATGATAAAAAATGTATATAAAATTAATAGAATAGAAATAATACAATAGTTACAATAAGTAATAATGACAAATATAGGGGTGTGAGATAGTGATAATATATGGAATTAATTAGTAAGTGAGAGATAAATGTATAAATATATTTCATTCATTATCATTATTATGATGTAATGTGAAGACTATGAGACGCATAAAATTCCAATCACACATAACAATAGCCATACAAACATAGAAAATGAGTAGGATGATTAGTAATTAGAGTTAATGAAGCGATAGATATGAAATAATAGTATGTATATAAAAGGAATAAGTAGAAGAATTAGGATAGTAATATGTATCTAAGAAAAGATCGCATGGTAAATGCTGAATGAGAAAAACAAGTGATATTAACAAATGGTAATTAGGATAAAATAAAAGGATATAAAATGAACTGAGATAGAATGGGAAATACAAATAGAATATACAATGAAGAGTGTAAATAATGAATGAAAGATTAAGAATGTAAATAGCTTTAATGATAAAAGATTATGTATACTATCACATAATAAAACAGGTGAATAATCAAACAATAAAGCAGAACAACAACTAATTATAATCATAGAAATATAAAAAATAATCAAAAAAATCAATATATCTGACGATATAAAGCAACAATAAATAATAATAATTAAAGCCTAAAATGACATAAATAAGTTATTAACATAGATAGAAGAAAATTAAATAATTAGGATATAATGATAAATGGGATAATACCGTAAATAATATTCTTAGAAAGTGTATAGATTACCTAAAAGTACAAATAGCATAGTCGAAGAAGGAAAAGAAAAGTAACAATCTTAACAACATAGAGAAGATACTTAGGAACAGTATGCACGACTTAGTAAACTCTCGGTCTTTTTGCAAAAAGGTAAGCAGTAAAAAATAGCGGAGGCCACCCGAAACTAAGATTAAATATTGTAAAGGCACGCGATGGACGAAAATCACGAGGTGGAATGGGGCGTGATTAAACAGACGGAGTATAAGGGTTTGTTGTTTTGATCTTTGTTTTTTTTTGTCATGGTTGGTTTTGTTATCGTTTGTGAGATGATTGAAGGTTACTGAGGAGTGATAGGTATTTTTATATGTAGAAATGTAGGATCAGTTTGAATTCATAGTTATAAATATTATGGATAGTAATGGTGATTTTTTTTGTCTCCCTGTCTCTTGTTCTACCCCTTTCGATCTCGTCTTTCTCTGCCATTATCCCATTATTACCCTCCTCTGTATCTCATCGCGTCTTTCTCACTGATGACCGTGACTTTCATTCTATCACTAACCTTCACTTCCTTCTCATTCCTCCATCCCATCTCATAAAATAACTTCTCTCTACCCATATATATCAATACCCGTTATCCCAGTCTTCCTCTATCTGCACTCACTTATATCTCTTTACCGTTTCCCTCCTATACTTACCTCCTATTATCTTCTCTTTTCGCATTCCAACCTATTTCTCCAATACCCCCACCTCCCTCCCTTCTATACTATCTCCCATCTGCATCAGTACACTAGCTTCCCGAATTCTCAAAGAATTACCCAGCACCCTAAACCTAATTTCCTCTGTCTTACGCGATTCTATATCACAACCTCTCCCCTGATTATGTAGAGTACGCTACCCTACCACCACTCATCTTACCCGATTATCACCTATTCTTATTCATTATTCAAATTCGCCTCATCGCACGCTTTACTGACACTACCCTCCCTTCTCTATCCTATATATCACTTATATCCCTAAGTTAGTACCCAATTATTCCACCGTATCAGCCGCCCCCCCCGTGCTCTCTCGCTCCTCTTCGTTTGCCACTCCGCTATCCCTTTGGCCCCCTCCCCCTTGCTGCTGCGGTCCCCGCGTCTCCCACTCCCATCCCCTCCTTATCCCCCCAAGAGACTGCAATCTCTCTACCACCTTCTAGATCGCGCCAGCTCAGATCCACTCCCCACGCAGTCCGCGATTGCAACGTTCATCATCCTCCTTCTTCCCACTCTCCTCCCATGGAGATCCCCCGCGTACCCTTCTCTCTCACTTCCCTTCTCCCCGACGAATTCCGCAAATATCCAATTCTATCCATGCCCACACCCCCAATTCTACTCTCCTCACCTTCGTTCCCGAACTCCCCATACCCTTAATCCACAACCACGAAACGTGATACATCGATCTCGCATGCCACTATGAACCTTCCCTACTCACCCTCCTATATCCCACCTATCTCTCTACCTGCCCTATAACTTCCCACATACCATATCTCACTTATCCCTGACCAAGACCTTCTCTCTTAACGTCCCTTCTCACCCACTCCGGCATCCTCAGAAATAGACCCTCTCCATGCTCTCTCAACGCCGCATTCTCCACCAACTCCACATCCATTCCCCCCTTCTCTCTCCTCCAATATAAACAGTCCCTGACAACTCCCACTCCCTTTGATCACATATCCCATCTCCCACTCTCTCACTACCCATGATACCTCGCCCTACCTCCCATATATCCCTCCCCCCTATCTCTACTACCTCACCTTCATATCCCCACTGACCCCTCCTTTATCCCACGCACTATCTCTCTCCTCTCATTCTATCCCACTCACCCCTACTATTAGTATCCCTCCCCAGTCGTATACATCTCCACCCTTTATACAACCCAGCTATACGCCAATTACACGCACTTCACCACCCCTAATATCGTAACATTCCCCGCCGATCCACCTCCCTCCTCTATCCAACAGACGAGCAGACACATTCGGCACCGTCGACACACCCGCTCACCGTCATGCAAGAGACGAGTAAAACGAGATCCGTCCACTTCACACTGTATTCACATAACTATGCGAGAATCTACGATGCTAAGAAAGAAGGCATATGATACACATCCTCATGAAGAGAAGCCCAAAAGTTCACACCGATCACTCTTCAAGTTTCTGACGGTGTTGGAGCCCGAGGTGTGGGTGTGCATCCTCTTCGCCTATGGGTTCACGAGGTAAGGGGGGTTCGTGTGGGGCTTTGTGTGGGGGGGGGTATGTGGGTGTGGAAAGGTGGGGGGTGTTGGGGGGAGAGGGGTATGTGGTTGGTTTTTGTTTGTGGGCGTGTTGGGGTGTGTTTGGAATATGAGGATATACTTAGACGCAAAAACTGACAGACACATGCAAACTGACACAACACACACACACACACACAACACACCACACACAGACACACACACACACACAAACGTATGGGTATGTCATATTCCTGAGAACCTTAACATTTGTCTTTATAATATACTCTATACCAAAATTTGAAAAATCACAAATGCAGCTTACGAATTTTGACAAATTACGAATACTTATAAAAACAAAGTGATTGATACTCTTCCGAAATATAACTTATCACTACTTTCATATATTCCCCCTTTATCACATTTCTCCTATTTCCTTCTCTTCCAGCATTCTCCTCTACATCTTCGACCGCTTCAGCCCCTACAGTTATCAGAACAATAAGGACAAATACAAAGACGATGACGAAAAGAGAGAATTCACCTTGAAGGAATGCCTTTGGTTCTGCATGACGTCACTCACTCCTCAGGTTGGTGCTGTGACGTCATTGTATTTTGTGTGACGTCATCGTTTTTCTTTGTAGTTTTTGTGTTCTTTTTATGATGTCTCCTTTTCTTGTGATGTCAAGTTTTTTTGTTTGTTTGTTTGATAGTAATTTGAATACATTTCTTTTTTCATCAAACAAATAAAAAAGACATAATAACCATGCATCTAATCGAAGACAAATTAAATAGATTTACATATATGTTTCCCCCTTTTTCTTCCCCTCACTCCACGCCATCACACACCATAAACAAACAAACAAACAAAACACACACAAAACAAAACAAAACAACACAAAAACAAACACAACCAAAACAACAAATAAACAAAAACAAACAAAAAACAAAACACAATAAACAAAAACAAACAAAAACAAACGAACAACACACAACCAACCAAACAAACACAAACGAACGACACACAACCAACCAAACAAAAAACAAACAAACAACGCACAAACAAACACAATCAAACAACCAAACCAACCCAGGGAGGCGGCGAGGCTCCCAAGAATTTGTCCGGGCGACTGGTGGCAGCGACCTGGTGGCTCTTCGGTTTCATTATCATCGCTTCGTACACGGCCAACTTGGCTGCTTTCCTGACTGGTAAGTTTGGGTTTGTTAGTGGGTGTTTTTGTTTGATTGTGTGTGTGGGTGTGTGGGTGGGTGGTTGGGTGGGTGGGTGGGTGTGTGAGGGTGAGTGGGTTGGTGGGTAGATGGTTGGTGGGTGGTTGTGTGTGTGTGTGTGGCTGCGTGTGTATGAGCTTTTCTGGCTGGTATTTTTCATGTTTTTCTTTTTTTCTCTTTTTGAGTGCCCATGCGTATGTCTTTTCCTCAATGGTATTGAAAATGTATATATATTTATCTTTATTTTTATCATAATTACGCTTATATATGTGTGTGTGTGTGTGTATGTGTGTGTATATAATATATATATATATATATATATA